GTATCAACTCGGGCTATTACAAGTTTTTTTTTGGCAATGTACGATTTAATGAAGATGACGACTTCTACTTGAATGCCGATGACATGTAACAGACTGTTATGTGGGTATCTATATAAGTCTGGAGTCAACTTAGAGTGTAGATGATATTTGCTTTGAAGGCAAATTAACTAACACTGAGGTGATAGTTCCAAAAATTTTGGACTTGACAAATAAAGATCTGTAGAATGTGACGCTTTAAATGTCCGACCCGAATGTGATCCCAAAGCATACTGGATCTGCATATTGTTATTTAGGGCTTCCGTTAATAGTTATCAAGTTCAGCTATAGCATTTTCCATAGTGGTATTATATTCATCCAGATCTGTTAAAGAAATATTGACTTCAGTCAACTAAATTTATTTCATTTTGTTTTAAAATTCCAAAATATTTTTCCATGGAAAGTCAAATGACTGTTTCAAACTGTTTTATCGTAAAATTTTATTTTGTTGGAAGGCCTGCATGATGCATTCCTAATTGGCGGAGTTGAACGCATTTCTGATGTCTAGAGTCGCCACCAGGCAATACTTTTTCGTTCCACCTTTCCATCTGGTTCCTGCGATTGCTTCCTTGGCCGTATCAACAACCAGTTTGATTGCGTCCAGGGTTGATCGTCCTTTCCGGAACCTATTTTGATTGTCTGCCAGAAGTGGGTCGACTACTGCTTCAATTCTCTGGTGAATTATGCGTTCAAATATCTTACCCGCCGTATCTAGCATGCAAAGTGGTCGGTAAGATGTCGGATCTTCTGGTGGCTTCTTTTCTTTAGGGAGTAGAACCAGTCGTTGTTGTTTCCATTTCCGAGGAAATGTCCCTTCCTTGAGGCACGTGTTGTAAACTTTCAAGAATAACGTTGGTGCTGCCTTTATGGCTGTTTTCAAGGCAATATTAGGGATTCCATCTAGTCCTGGCGCTTTGTCATAACCACCTTATAAGGCCTACCCTACACGCCTTTATCCACCTCGTATATAACCTTTTTCCAGCATCTTATTTTGCTCTCTTTGATGGCTTTATTCAGTTCACGACGCGCCTTTTTGTACTCTGCGATCAGCTCCACTGAGTTGGGCAGTTGATAGCTGCGCTGAGAGATTCTTCTTTTCTTATGACACTCTTTACGGAGGACGCTGATGTGGTCGTTCTACCAATGTAGTCGTTCCACCAATGCACCGAAGGTCTCGAATTTTTGCCACATTTACGAGGCATACTGGCATCACAAGCATGTCAAAAGATTACACCTTCCAACCAACGATGTTACTGCTTGATTGGTCTCTTGAGGTTCTGGTCGTTTGATATTTCCCAGAATACAGTACCAATCGTTGCTGTTTCCACTTACGAGGAAAAGACCCCTCCTCTAGGCATGCATTATAAGCGTCAAAAGTGAGTGTTTCTGTCAAAAGTGAGGTCTACAATTGAGCTTGCGTCACCTTTGGCGTAGGTCGGCGTATCACCACTGTTGAGTGAAACTACATCTAGTGTAGTAAAGGCCTCTAGTAGTGCTTTCCCTCGTGCGTTGGTATGTTTGCTACCCCAGTCAACTGCCCAGGAGTTGAAGTCTCCGGCTATCGCTACTGGATGGTATTGCTTCGCATCTTTGGTTAGTCGATCCAGGAAATTAGTGAAGCCAACAATGGAGAGGCTAGGTGGTGCGTAGCAGCTACAGAAGCGGATGCCCTCTACTGATACTGCTACAAAGCTGGCATTGCTGTTGTCGACTGCATTTTCGAAAGGGAGCTTGCCACGTGACCAGATGACAGCTTTGGATGTGCTGTCAGTTTCCCAGGGTTGGGTACTCAGGTGTTTATATGGCTCTGCTATCAGTACCAAGTCAAGCTCTAATTCTCGGACGGATTGCATGAGCCGGTCATGCGCTGCTTCACAATGGTTGAGATTGAGCTGTAGTATCCTCATGATTGTTTGTTCGTCAACTTCTGGAGCGCCTCCTGAAATACCGGGTATCTGTGGGTGCCGGCATGATGAGCCACGTCCTTTGCTCCTTGCTGCTCAGCACATATTGCACACTTGGCAGGATTTTTACAGTCAGCGATACGGTGCCCTTCTTGTCCACATCTGATGCAGAGTTTAGACCGGTCTACTTGGCTTTTGCATTGGGGCCCAACATGTCCAAAGTGCCAGCATTTAAAGCATTGGACTGGCCTTCTAGTTGCTCTTATTCGGCAATTGACCCAGCCAATCCTTATTTTGCTGCTTCCTTCCAGTAGCTGTTGTGCTGCAGCTGCTGGTAGTGTCACTGTAGCCGTTTGCGTACCTCTGTAGGCCTTACGGATCTTGATAGCCTCTAGTGGTATTTCACAAGTTTCTTCGGTTTCCGTTTTCAGGGCAGTCTGAATGTGCTCCTTCGTCGTGTCATCATCAATGTCTCGGATCTCGATGGTCTCCTGCGGTCCGTTGCAGATTACTTCGGCCTCTTTTTTAAGAATATCCATGATGGTCTTTTGCAAGGCTTGACCTTTGTCGATAATCTTTTTTGAGAGCGTAATCAGCATGTCCCCAGCTTTGGTTTTGTGGATCTTTTCCACGGTTGTGCGGACCTGTTCGTCAGGGACGGCCTGATTTATACGACGCAATATTTCGGCGTACTTCTCCTTCTCGACCGGATGGATAATCAGAGCGTCAGGCCTGATCCATTTTCGCGGTTTCTTACACTTAGGTTCCGGCCGGGGCTCTTTCGGCGGTTACTTTAGGAGCTGCTCTTTCCATTGCCTTTTCAGTTCTTTTTTAGACTAAACTCGTTGCCAAGCTGACACTTTTATCTGTTCGTCGCTTTGCAGTGCTGTTTTTTGCAGAGGGCTTCCCTTCAGGTCCTTCTTCTTTGTTGCTTGGCTGAATGTTGGGTCTGGAGAGGGTCTTTCTTTTCTCTTACCAGGCTTGCCGAAAATTTCACGCCTGTCTTCAGCGACTGATTCACCGTCACCTTCGGCTCCGGTGTCCATTGCTTCGTCAGTCACGACGACAGATTGACAGGTTTTCTCTGGTGTAGCGTGGGAAATGCGCTGCAATGATAAGCGCCATTCTCCGTCCAGTTTCTTAAACCTTTGGAAGGCGTTAGCTACACTAGTCGTCTTGAACTTAATCTCCTTGTGAATGTTGACTTTTGATTGGACGAAATCATTCAACTCACTGGTCAGATTTTCAAGGCGTTCGAGCGCTTGCGACCGCTTCATTTCAGCGTTTGCGTCAATCGCTGCTTGTTGGACATGAAGCCCGTTTGCACTCTTGATTGTTTCCTGTGAATTACTCATACTTTTTGATTTCCCGGGAAAAAAAGTTTAGATCTGCTCTGATCAAATTTGATCAAATTCATCAGATCTGAGCAGATCTGCATTATGGCCAGATCTGTCCAGATCAAATTTGATCTGATTAGATCAAATCTGATCTGTTTAGATCTGGTTCGTTTCCAACAGAATCAATTTATAAAAAAGTTTATAAAATAAAAACGATAGTAAAATTTATTTTATTTCTACTTGCAAATTAGAAATTATGTATTTTATATCAATTTTCTGTGATTTAAAGTCGAATTATGGTTGAAAAACAATTTGCGATGATGGGGATTCGAACCTGGGTCCTCCTGCATGTCAGTCCCAGAGCGTACCATTCAGCTACTAGAAGTACCTAACTGAGTTACTCTTCAGATAACGGTTGTGTAGGTGCTGTATTATCTTTTCGTAAAATTTGAAGGTCGGTGTACAAAATATGATTACTTTAGGTATTTTGACCTGCTGAAACCGAATATCGCAGCCATTTTTGCGAAATCCCGGGCCATATATTATTTATAGCCATTTGTTTAAACAATTATTTGAGAAATAATTGTTTTGACATCGGATATTTTTCTTTCAATATTTTAGCCAATTTAAGATGAAAATTACTCTTATAAAATTTGCCGTTAGTTATCTTGTTATCCCAGTCCGAGCTATCTAATAATTTTTTCTCACATATTCTATACACTCACATTAAGATGATCCTCTCCATAATCCTTTCTCAATCCTTTCCTACCAATTATCCTGTTACGTGAATGTTGGAACGCTTCACGTAATAATTATCCGTAACTCCTATTCTTTCCCGCTTCACAGCATTATTTATATTTGTTATCCGTATATATTTGTTAAAATATATACGGATAAGGTAGTGGTAATTCGTAGGAAATTTGCTACTTGCAGGTTGTGGTTTGCTACTTGCAGGTTGTGGTTTATCACAAATTTAAGATTAAATACATTAGAAATATACTTTCTTTGTTGCTGTAAGATGGACAGCTGAGTTCTCGGTCCATCTCACTTTCCTCCTCTCCTGTTAGCATCTGTTAGCATTAAAGGAGAGTAGGTAGTGGTAATTCGTTGGAAATTTGCTACTTGCAGGTTGTGGTTTATCACAAATTTAAGATTAAATACATTAGAAATATACTTTTTATTTGTTATAAATAAGAGTTATATTTACTCTTATTTATATTTGTTAAAAATGCTAACCGTAAGATGGACGGTGTGGCTTAATGTATATAGAATAAGTGAAAGGAAATTTAGTATAGACCGGATAGCTCAAATGGTAGAGTAGCCGACATGTCTTCGGAAGGTTCTGGGTTCGAATCCCAGTCCGAGCTATCTAATAATTTTTTCTCGCATATTCTATAAACTCACATTAAGACGATCCTCTCCACAATCCTTTCTCAATCCTTTCCTACCAAAATATCCTGTTACGTGAATGTTGGAACGCTTCACGTAATAATTATCCGTAACTCCTATTCTTTCCCGCTTCACAGCATTATTTATATTTGTTATATAAATTATTGCTTCAATAATATGTTTATTATTTAAATTATCAACCTAAATCACCGCTGTCCATCTGACGGGGTGGTAGTAGCATAAAATAAAAAATTTGCTATTTTCTATCAATTTGTAATATTCTCACAAATTTGATGTATATACATTAGAAATTAACTTTCTTTGTTGCTGTAAGATGGACAGCGGTGATTTAGGTCCAACTCACTTCCTCCATCCCCGGCGCTGTGTTAGTAGCCCTGGACGGGGTGGTAGTAGCATAAAATAAAAAATTTGCTATTTTCTATCAATTTAGTTGTGAATTAATACGAACACTTCCTGATATTTTCCTCGTTCCTTCTATAATTAAGTCGTACCCTTGAGGCCCGCCACCCGACGAAAAGAGTCCCGGACTGGAGTAGCCGAAATCGACGTGATTGGAGCAAAGCTCCTGGCGCCCAACAACAGGTTAAGCAGGTAGGCCAGGTTATTTATTTCAGATCTCGTCCTCGCCAACGCACGAGAGCGAGTTAACTGTTATAAATTTCTATGAAATTTTCGGTCTGACAAGTTCGTGCTCTGAGATTTCTCTAAAAGCTGTAAAAACTGCGTTGAATGCCGTAAACCGCAAGAAAATCAGTTGATTTATTCACCAGTTCTTACGGTTCAAAAATTCAAAAAATAGTGTTATATGAAACTTCTATCAGACTTTTGAGCTGAAAGAGCTCAAAAGCATAGAGCAGTCATTTCTTCGAGCTCAGAGAGCTCAAATTTCACCAAAAATAATATTTTTGAGCTCGAAGAGCTCAAAAACAAAATGAGTGAAACGTTGAGCGCTTAGGTATAGAGTTAGCTCTATATACCTTATAGCGGGAAGTTGCAGGGATGGCCTTTAGGGTCAACCGTTTTCCTAATTTTTTTTAAATTCAAAAGTCTTGAAAGTATTGTACTCAGCACGAGTCTTTACAATAAAACTGATTTTTGTTGAATTTTTTTAGTTGAAATGACTCGTACATATCATCAAAAAGTAACAGTGCTTAATACGAATAAATATAAGTTCAAAATATCATTTATTAAAGTGAACTATTGCTTACAGGTTGATTTTTCTGAGAAACCATCGTTTTGGAAGGCATTAAAGCCTCCCGCAAAAGACAAATGTGGTGAACTGCTTTGTTCCCTTTGTTATCATCCTAGTAATTCTATTTTAACACTGACGTTGCTTAAAGCGAGAAATCTTAAAGCAAAAGACATTAACGGAAAATCTGGTAAGTTTATATATCATAATCCTTAAATTTAGACATTATTATGTTGAAATTTTTTTTTCACTTTTTTTTTAATTCGTAGATCCTTACGTAAAAGTTTGGTTACAATTTGGTGACAAAAGGATTGAAAAGCGAAAAACACCGATTTTCAAATGTACTCTCAACCCCGTTTTTAATGAAGCATTTTCATTTAATGTACCTTGGGAAAAAATCAGAGAATGCTCATTAGATGTAATGGTGATGGATTTCGATAATATCGGCCGAAACGAACTGATTGGCCGGATACAACTGGCAGGTATATTAAAGTTAATCTATATATCTTTGCTACATAAAATTGTTATTCCATATATATATGGGGCATTCCATGCCAAATCGACCACTTTTGACACCGACCCTTTTCGATTTTTCTGAAATTTTGGTATCTTTCTCTACCCTATTGAAAACAATTTTCAGAATTTTTTCAAATTTTTTTACCCAACCAAAAAAAAGTTACGAGTTATTACAAAAAAGTTTGGGAAATCCAAATGAGCATGCCTTAAGCGCTCATGTTATACATAAAATATTTAGATCAAAACAAAAATTATTCGTTTTTAATTTGAATTTTCCCGCGAGTAGTATTATGCCCTCTGTAGGTCGAATTAAAGAAAAATTTTAACAGATGATAAAACAGTTAGTAATTAAACCATCATGTATGTATAGTTTCTGCTTGTTTATAGTTATTTCAATTCTGTTAATGAAAAATAATACATATGGCTGCCGAAATCGTAGAAAAAGTCACCGAACTGACAATCGAAAAAAATTAACTGTATCGAAACGGAATTATTTTGACACGCAATTTTCACAAGGGTTTTGATAAACTTCCTCAGGAATAAAACAAAAAAAAATTAAATCGTGAAAGTGATTTTTGACAAAGTTGTGGTGTCAAGCCCATAGCTCCCGTGAATACCACGCTCTTATTCATTTAATTCATCAGAAAAACGAGTTTTTTCTGAGAAATCTTATTTAATCGATAAGAAAATTTTTTTAATGTGTTCTATAGTTACTATTATTTATTTCAATATGCTTTTTATCCATAACTTTTTTCGTTTAAATTATGAATATCACGTTTTAATCGAAATCACAATTTTTAGGCGAGAGTAGAGCATACCTGCGCGCTTCGCGCTTAAGGCATGCAAAAACAGCTTTTTTTTTGTTAAATAACCATAACTTTTTTGAAAATTGACTTTTTGGGATGTTTTTTTTTTTTGAAATTTTTGTCTTTAAATGTACTTTAAAAAAAAAAATAAAAATAATAATTCGGGTTCATATTCAATGTTTTTTTTTTTTAACTTTTTTGGTATAAAAACGAAAATTTACGGGTATGATTTGACATTTTTGTAAATTTCCGGCCTCGGCTTTGCCTCGGACGTTAAAATTACGCATGTTTCGTCGCTGTCAGAGAACCGCTACTTCACGGCTTTATGAGATGAATATCTATTTTGCACTCTTAGGGTACATTTGTTGGTCAATTTTATAGATTGAAAACAGTATTGACGAGTCTTTTTGCGATAAATTTCAATTCAACAATAAAACAAAACCGCTAGTGGTCACTATAGTGATGTGCAAAAAAAAAACAAGCATTCTGACCCGTGCAAAAAAAATTCTGATTCAAAATGAATTTAAGATTGAAACTCATATTTTGACATAAATATGAATTAGTTTTGAGATCAATCAAAATTTGAAATTGATTTGTAGATAGAAATTGTGTAGAAATTAGCACACCTGTAAAACTTTCGATCCTGCTTCAGAATCTCAATAAAAACTTACGAATATTTAGGATGAATTTTACACGGGAAGAAAATTGAAGGAGTTTTTACTCTTTTACTATTGTAATTTTTACTAAATAAAATAGTAACGGTGGACTTTACTTCTCATTTAGTAATTTTTACGATCTAGTATTGTAAATTTTATCCAACAAATAAGACTAGCAAGAGTTTTAAAAAGTCGTATACTATAGAGCAAATTATACAATATGTGTTAGTGAATTTTACAATTCAACTGTTGTAAAAATTCACAGTTGGTTTTTTTTAAAAGAAATATTAGGGAGGAAGAGAGATAGAAGGTTGGGCTAATTGGTACCTGTACAGTAATCGAAAAAAGAAACAAATCTTTTCGTGCTATCTGGGAATCGAACCCAGAACTCTGTTTTGGCAGCCAGAGACTCTCCCTCTAGGCTATCCGAGGTAAACTAAGACCCATGTTCTTTAACATTTATATAAACTCAGAGTCTAGCGCTGTGCACGGCCATCACTCACACTAATTGAGAGATATTCCAATTCAACTATTGTAAAATTTGCTATAGTTCTATTGGAAAGATACAGAGGCAGCACTGGAAATTTTCATCTCTTACTTTTTACAATAGTAATATCGTATTTTTTCATTAATAAATAGTATTTTTTCTTCTAAAATATTTGATAATTAATAGTAATAAAGGTATAGTCCAGCTTTACAATAGTTGTATCGTAAATTTTCCCAGAAATTTTTTCCCGTGTAGATATGTCCTAAGTTTCATGTCTCAAGAAGTTCTAGTTTATAAACGAAAACATGTTTTTACATTCTACTCAACATTTTGACATAACCTACATATGAAGACAATTATCGCTAAATTCGTTTTCAGCTGATATCCAATTATTAGAAAAGAAGAATATTTAAAACGGTTGACCTTGGAGGCCATCTCTGTAATGTCCTGTTTCTCTTGAGATTCTTTTAAACTTTATATCTGCAGGAACTGTATTTAAAGAATATGAATTTTTTTTATAATTAACACCTCCGCACTCCTATGTGAAGGAGGAATTTCGTCAGATCCTATTCAAGATGATTTCTACATTATAAATAAAAGATTCCTACTAAATTTCGAGTCTGTAGAGGTTACAGCTTGGAAATAGAAATTTAATATTCTAACACCCACCCCCGCTATCATTATTGGCGGGGGTTATTGCAAAATCCGCTCTTAGGTGATTTCTATATCACATATAGAAGACTCTAGCTAAATTTTTAGTCTATAGGAGCTATGGCTTAAAAATTAAAAATTTTTTATTTTTATTGCCCTCGCAACTCCTTTTGGGGAAAAAATTTGTCTAAATACATTCTTAGCTTACCTCTACATAGCAAAAGTAATATTTCTACCAAATTCCACATTTATAAGTCCTATGGTTCCCGAGATTTCGTGATGAGTGACTATATAGATGGGAATCCTTCGATGATCCTTCGAGTGGGTAGGTGGGTGGGTGGGAGTGAGCGTGTCGGTGCGTGAAAGTGTGTAAGTAGATTCTTAGCTGAATGTAAAGGAACATAATCCGTCTAATATACTCGGTTGAAATCCATGAAAACAAAAAAATCAAGAGAAAATGCTTGTCTTTTGTTTTTATTAGCGGGACAAATGTTCATAAAAGTAAAACAGCAATAAAAAAATGAAAAAACGTTGGAATTCAAAAAATCATAAACCATCTAGGAAAATTTCGTGTTGAATGGTTGTAGTTTCGAGTCGATACGATCAGTGGTTTAGGCGTGACTGAACCTCAAACAAAGACCATTTTCATTATATATATGTATAAATTGACACGAAGAAAAAAATCTGAAAAACGATTGACCTTAAAGGCCATTACTGAAACTTCCCGCTAATTCCGTATGCAAGCACTTAAAATTTTTTATCGTTAACACTCACCCCCGCGATCCTTATTGGAGGCGATTCGTTGTAAAATCCGCTCTTAGATATCATTTCTATATCACGTATTGAAGACTCCTCCTAAATTTGGAATCTATAAGAGCTTATAGCTCGGAAATTAAAAATTTTAATTGTTAACATCCACTCCCGCAAAGCCCAGTGAGGTGAGCTATCGTAAAATTCGTTCGTGTATTATTTCTACATCTCTTACGGAGAATTTCTACCCATTTTGGAGTCTATAGGAGCTATAGTTTAAAAACGGGAATTCTTCATTGTTAACGCCCCCGCAATCCTCCTTGGATAGTCTAGTCAACAAGTGCCTTTTTGGTCAACTTTTTTCAGCAGTCTCCAAAAATTATGATTGAGGTGTCATTCGATTCGGAATGGCATCTAGATGATTTTTGAAAAAAATGAAGTTCCGCTTGCAAAAATTGCAAAAGTTATTAACAATGAACTAAAAAAAAAAGGGAGTTTAGTTTCTTGCAAATATCTCAAAATCTAATAAAGATTTTTCAAATTTGAAAAAAGATTCAAAAAGAGGAAGAAATTTCCTAAAAAAAGTCTCGACTCCCGAAATTGTAGGACCAATATTTCTAATTTTCCCAGAGGGTTGAAAATACGCCCGAAAACGGGTACTCTGGCTTGCGCAAGCCACGCCTCCTTCGTACCTTTAATGAATAGATAATATTTAAACTTATTAAATATGAAAATAAAAAATTGAAAAAATTCAGGCGCCTACAGAACAGATCAATGAACAATAATCCGTGGTCAAAAAATTTTTATCGCGATTTTTCAGTAAGTTATCCATTAATTAATTAACAATTTTTTGTAGCATGAACATTAACATTGCAAGTGCGATAATTGTTAAACTATTGATCTGAGAATTTTTTCCTTTCGTGGAGCTATTTCTCAAAGGTTTTAGAATAAATTCCCCGTGGAAAAATTAAAAAATTGTTAATTTTCGTTTTGTTATTAACAATTTACTAAGATGAAAAATTATAAAGCTTTATTAAACATTGAAAAAAAATTTTTTTTATAATATTATTATTGATCCGTTGTCTTATGATCAGAAGCTACTTAAAAACAATTTTTAATAATTTTTATCTCTGATTGTTTAAATAAATGTTATTAACAAATGCGTTGTTTATGAAATAATTAAAAAATTTTTTTTGATAACATAATCTTTAATAATAATTATGATTTAAAAAAAAAAACCGTTTCTTAAAAAAATTTTTTTATTGCTGAAAAACGCATTTGTTGATTAACAATTATTTTCTCCCACTTCTAATTAATATTAAGGAACCATTTTTTTTTTAAATCATTATTTATTTTTCTTTTTGATATAAAAAAAAAATTTTGTTTTGTTTAATTTTTAATTGTTTATATAATAAACAATTTGTTATAAACAAATAAATTTTTACCTTTTATTTTTTTTCTTATTTTACTTATTGTCACAAAAACAGACATGATTTTGTTTTTTTTTTTTAATTTTCTTTACTATTTTTTTTTTAATTTTTAAATATACGTTGTCTGTAATTCGACATTCTTACCCGGTTTTTTATCCTTAAAATTATCATAATTAATAAACTAATGGAGA